CCCTGCCACTGGACCTCAAAAGACGCTTCATGAGAGGATGGGTCACATCTTGCTTAATAAATTTCCTGTCACACAGCAGGGATCTTGACCAACAGGGCATTTAAAGTTTCAGGCTTCTTTGAAAGTCACTAGGAGGAATGCATTAGCTTATGATATGCAGGAATATGGATTAAAAAATGGATCTAATTTCTTCTGGTTTTAATCCAATGCAATGAGTAAAACATTTTCTATGTGGATCAGCTGTTCGAGGGGAAGGAAACAGTGAATGTTACTGCATTTATTCATAAAATCCAGTACCTAAAGTTCTGAGCATATACAGGCAGAAGATTGCTTACTGTCTTAAAAAATAGAAAGAAGAGAAGGGTCAGAAAGGTAGGTACAAAGAGTCAGGCAGCACATTTTTAATGCCTGCAGGAGATAGGCAGGTTGAACCTTCTGGCATTATTCTGACACCTGCAGACATAAGACCCCTGAAGTGTTCTTGATGGATTCCCTCAGCTACCCAGGCACTGACCAGGAAGCATTTTCAGGAGAATGAGGACAGTTTATACTATGGGATTTGATTATGTGCATATCATGTCTACAAACCCATCTGCCTCCAATGACCAGAGCCTTGAAACGCTCCTAATGCTGGAGCTCCGAGCATGCACTAAGCACAGGAGAAGACAGGCAGAATGAATGGAAGTTTTCCTGGACTGGGAAAGAATTTCCCGAAGTGGCTTTCTGGGCACTACAAAATCTGAATGACATCAATGAATTTAGGACAAGGCATGGGGGGGATCTGTTGGAAGTGCTGGTTCTCTGGCTGGTTTTGAAAAAGACCATCAGTATGGTACCTCTGTAGGTGATCCTGGGCCCTTGAGAGTAAAATCAGGACTTGAAAGCATAGTCTAAACAAGATTTAGCTGTGACCACCTGCACTAGCCACCTCTGCCCATTCATACATTATTTATGTTGGCTTAGGAATATTTGAGGCTTCCTTCCAGATTCTCTTTCCAGTTTGTTTTTTTTTCTTCCTGGACAACTGTATGCAACAGCTTATTTCTGACATCGCTCAGTAAGCTAAAATTTTCTGGATAGCAAGTGTTTGCCTATTAGTGAATACCAACATCTGTCCCCCAGATTTAATTTCATTGATCTTATTAGAGTGGTCTCCATCTGGCCAAATACAGGCATCTCTATTATAGGTGTCTGAAGGAGATGTCCTAGGCTCCTATAGCCCACAGAGAGAAGCCCTCCCTTCTGCCCATCCATATGGGTGGGATTCAGCTCCCAGACAAGACACCTACCTCTAGCAGCATTATTTGGTTGCCCAGCCATGGATAGCCAGAGCCATCTGAGATATGCTGGGGTATCTGTCACGTCCACATGAGGCTGGCAGGTAACATACAGCACTTATGAGAGAGCTGAGCTGTTCTGCAAGCACTACTGGAGGTCAGGTGGGTGCCCACAGGCCATCTCAGGTGTCACAAGATGAGCATGTTTAGGCAACTAATGCACACCCTATGGAGTCCTGAGAGCTGTGACTCACCACAGGGGTATCTCCTTCAGGGTGAGATGCTCTGCAGGAATCCATCAGGTTATCACAGCATACAAGCACCAGTTCAGTGTCATCTCCCAGGGCTTCACACTGTCTACATGCTGGCTGGCAGGCTGACTCCAGCGTGAAGAGATCCAGCAACTTTGCAAGCAAAACAAGGCTGGTAGGGAAGTGGAAAAATACCTCCAAGTTCTGCACAGAGCTGGCTTGAGATACCTGAGGCCATGAGCTGCCCAGCCTTGCAAGGCCAAACCTGACCCCTGCTTCCTCCTCTTTGCCTACTTCTCTGGAACAATTAAGAAGAAATACATAAAAGACAGGTAGCTAACAAAAAAAAAAAAAAAAGAAAAGGATAGCCATTTTTTGTCCCTTTATAGAGGTTTTGGGTGGCTATTCTCTAAGCAACAGCCATTGTAAAAAGCAAACATCAAATACCAAAGAGATCAACAGCTCGTCTTGGAAATAATAACAGTATTCATCAGTCCCTGGCACTGTGCATGAACCAGGAGGATAAAATCATCTTAAATTCACATTTTGCACGTACAGGAATTGGGAGTGAGTGGAATCCCAAATCCCCAGGTTGAACATTAAAAACGCAAAGCTCCCACGAGGAGAGGTGTGATGCATCCCAAGGCATTTGAAACACAGCTATAGCTGCAGCAGGGACCAGCGCGTGGGAGCAGCAGGGTCTCATGTCGGCACACTCTGATGCATCAGACAAAACATTTTGTATGCCATTTCCAAACTAACATAGAGTGTCACCTTCACAGTTCTTTACCCCAGACGCAGCTGCATTTCGGTGATGAGGGAAATGGCCTCATTAGAGAAGAGTCAGATATACATGTTAAAAAAAAAACATCATTTTGAGCTACCTGTATAAAAAGAGGTTTGTTAAGGCAAGGGGAAGAGGTAGATTTTTCTTCTTACGGTGACACATTAGGAGGAGGCTTATGCAAGTGTCACTGAGGTAAGCAAGATCAGAAACAGATGTGGAGTATAGCTACAAACAGGATGTGAAAATAAACTCATTACCCCATCTGCCCACCGTAAACAGTGTGAAATTGGCAGCAAGCAACGAATAAAAATCCAGACAAATGGTCTTTTAAAGAGAGTAGAGGGAGCTGGAAGTTCTGCTGTTAGAAAAACCGAGGCACAGAAAGCTCAAGACCCAAAGAACCTATTGCAAAGCCCAAGCCTTACTCACCTGAGGTTAGTCTAGGCAGAGGTGGAGGATGTTCTCACAGTGCAGAGCCTCCAAGGTACAATTTTTGAAGACCATTCTGTCTTTGGGAGAGATCAGGTTTTGCTTTTGTCCCTGCCTATTAGGAAGCGCCATCTATTTTACCAGTCACCCGATTTTTTTTTCCCCCCGAGAGGAGCTGTCTTAATGGTGCATAAAATTACTCTCTCAGGGGTAGTGTGAGGAGAAAAATGTGGTGTTATGTTGTCTCCGTTGCAAAGACATTGCTAACAATAAAAGCCCCTGAATGATTTGGTTCTTAAGTGACGTGATTATCGAATGGGTCGTTCGCGATGCTCCAGTTAAAGTTGCTTCAAGCACCTCTGTCATAATGTCCAAATGGGACTGTTTTATGCTTTCAGCTTAGGCTCTAAATATTCACCCCTGGCCTTTGTTCGGTGAGGCAAGACTCAGCTTGAGGATATATTTACTTAAAATTTTGCAGGAAAATTTCTCAAATGGTCAATATCTGCTTGATTTATTTAAAGTGGGATCCCAAAGTATTTTACAGCTTTTACAGGCTGCCTGTGTTTATAACTGTCCTGGGGAGTATCTTCTGCAATTCATGTAGCGGAGAGGGGAAAGGAGGGGTCATAACTTCTATTTTAATCTGCTTTTCTAGCTGCTGACATGACACTGACAAAGTCATTTCTTCTGGAATGAAATCTGCCACCATGCTTTATTTTAGTCCAGAGGAGATTGTTTGGAGAAAGCCAGGGCACAATCTGCCCCTGCATTTCTCAGTGAGGAACATGAGTGAATTTTTCTTTCTTTCTTTATTTTTTTCTTTCTTTCTATTAAGTCTGTTTAGAAATGTGCATGGAAAATTCAACAGTATCTGAAGGCAGAGATTTCAGCATCAGCTTTCTAGATCTCAGAGAAATTGCAGAACAAATGATGTTTCAGGGAAAACGGTTCCTTGTGTTCATATTTAAGATCTGACAGCCCAAAGCAGTTTCCTACATGTTGCAAATTGTTTCTCTCTCCACATTTTGGCAGATCCAAAAAGGTATTGAGAGCTAAATAAGCCAGATCTATGAATAAATAGGGGGTAGTGAAACTCAAAATTTGAGGTGTTTCAAGATTTGAGACAAGCGAAAGCTTGGGTTTGGCCATGGGGCACTTCAGAATAGTCTGGAGGTTGATGAAAGGCTTTGCATTTGAGATTCTACTGGGATATTTCAGGATAAACCACCTGGGGAGTTCACTAAAGTTTGTAATAAACAAAATGAAAGTATCTGAACTCCAGATGCTGCCTTCTACTGTAATCACCAAAAGCAACAGAAGCAGCTCCTTCTAAACCATAATGCTGTGGCTGCCATGGGAAGAGAAATTGATATCCTGGGCTTGAGGGGGGAACTGAGAGGAATAGAAGGGTTAAGTGCACATAGAAATTCAGGGCATGGGAGCTAGCAGGTGGAAGGAGAGAAAAGAGATTGCAGAAATTGATAGATTCCTGGACAGAGGAGGGATCTCATGAAGAATTTTAATGTTGTCTAAATCAGTTTTCACTAGGAGCAGACATTAGATGCCCTCAAAGATTGAAAGTTGCCTTTACTAAGTATGATTTTCCCCCTGTGCCACTGGTGTCCTGGTACACCTTCCTAGCTACTCTCTGAAGTAGGAGAGAAGCAGAATGATGTGTGAGGGACAAGCAGTTCCTTTGGGAAGAGTTTGAGAAATCGTCTTTCAAGGTCTTGATAGCAGCTTATTTTTTTTTCTAACACAGCAGGATCTGAAATGATGTTACAGGCATTGGGACCAATTGTCCCCTTCCTTAAGCCAGGTTTCCATCTCTGTCACACTCCCAAGTCGTGGTGCGGCCAAGCCTGATTCATATCAACATGCTCTATTTGAAGTACAAAATCATGAGTTATGCTGCATCTCCTTCACATCCCTCGGAGGTCCTTCCATCTGCTCCTGCCCCTCTCCAAAGCTGCTGGACAGAGTTGCTATCAGTCCTACCAGGAGGGCCATTCAAGAGTAGGACGGGTAGGTCTAGACATTTAAGAGGCATTTACTCTCCAAATGGGGAAACCACCATGCTATCTGCCTGTTTAAAGACTTCAAACCAGGCTCACTGCTTTTAGGGTGTACATGATGAAGGAGATTTCTGTCTTTGTGTGTGAAGTAGACATCCTAGCCTGGTGCGGCCTATAAGAGTTCATATCCCGCATGAGCTTGCTTCATCATCTCACAGTTGTTCTCTGGTTCTCTTGCAGAAGGTATGGCAGAAGCTGTCAGCTCGAGCAGGGACTGCCTTCAAGCAGGAGAGTCCTGCACCAATGACCCCATCTGCAGTTCCAAGTTCAGGACCCTTCGTCAATGCATTGCGGGCAACGGAGCCAACAAGTTGGGCCCGGATGCCAAGAACCAGTGCCGGAGCACAGTGACAGCCCTGCTTTCCAGCCAGCTGTATGGCTGCAAGTGCAAACGAGGCATGAAGAAGGAGAAGCACTGCTTGAGCGTCTACTGGAGCATCCACCACACGCTGATGGAAGGTCAGTCAAGGAGGGGGGGCTCATTTCCTTCAGGTCTTCCTAAAAGGGAGGAAACACAGCAATACAGACTTTCTGAGAGCTCCCCACTAGCAAAGTAGAGGGCAGAAAGGTCTTCCCTGTCCGATCTCTTTCCATCTTACAACACATTGATCCATTCAGTAATGGCATTTTGAGCCTTCACCCTTTGGCCAGGATGGAAGGGGGATTTGGATCAGGTTCTCCCAATTTCATACCATGTGGGTCATTATATAGAAAGCAGGAACCAGCCCTTCAGTGACCTCATTTGGGCCTGAAGAAGAATAAAAAAACACCTAGAATTTCACTTTGGAAAGGACCAAGATGTCTAGGGTGTTCACAGAACAGCTTATCCATAGGACCCTCTTGGACTATTGAGGCACATTTATGTCTCCTTTCTAGAATTAGGGATACTTGCCTGCTCTGGCCAGGGGAACCTACAGTACAGTTTTGCAATGCTGCAGGAGGAATATGATAGGAAATGTGGTGGGACTTGGTAAATTTATTCTCTTTGAGAATGGAGATGTCCTTTATCAATTCAGACATTATAATAAGGTTGAAATCCTAAGGTTCTGCCTTTCATTTTTTTTTAGTGTGGCCTTTTTCATGATGTTCCCAGGATGCCTTGAAATCTTTTTCTGAAGAGATGCAGGATATACAGAGTATGATTTTCATTTAAATAGATGTTAGCCAAGACCCTGAGAGCCAGAGATTTTATAGAAACACTATACAAAGTCTAGGCACTGAAGAAAAAATATTGTGAACTTAGAAAAATTCACTCTCTCAGAAGATTGCAAGTGCCCCAGTGTCTTTGGGATAGTGAAGATCTGATGCAGGTGACATCAACCAGGAATTTAAATTGTTCCCAGAGCCAGTACTTAGAAAGTTTGGATTTTGACATTTTTTAGGAGTCATCATAAAAATGCAGCTCAGTGACCATAACTCTTCCATGTCAAGCGGGTGAGTATTTTATGCACCGTGAAAATTAAAATGGGGAATAAAACAGAACCTTTCAACTACAGGCTGCGAAAAAGATTAATAAAATGCGGCCAGCTGAAAGCTGAAAAGAGAGGTTCAAGAGTGATAAGATAGGCCAAAAGGCCAAGTAAAACAAAGAGGATGAAGAAATAATGCTCAGGCTTACTAGGACGGGAACGGCTCAGTCAAGTTCCTGGAAAGCTTTCAGGACCAGAGCTTGCAGGATGGTGAGCTCAGTGATACAAATTGCCAGCGGAAACAGGAGGTCTCACCACCTAGGATCCAACCCTTTTCCTAATTTCTTAACAAATGAATTTGTTTGCATTGGTGCCTCAGAAAGAGGTGGCAAACTGGCTTCTCCATCCCTCACAAGAATTTGAGTCACAATCCCTTCCCTGTCGACCTTTATGGTCTGAAGTTTTGGACACAGCTCAGCTCGCCCATCCTCCCTGTTTCTCTTTTAAAGCAGCTCTCCTGTCTCCTTGTCATGCAAACCAATCCATTTAGGTCACTTTCCATCATTCCTGCAGCTCCTAAATGGCCTTTCCTCCATCATGTCTTTGTGTTGGAGACTTCTGGATCCACATCTCTTTTGATTCAACTTGTTTTTCTTTTTTTCCTTTCTTTCCTTCTTTCTTTCTTTCTTTTTTTGAGTAGAGAAACTCTAACAGTATCCCAGGGGTCTGAGACCCAGGTGTGAATGGTGCGGGGCATGGGAGGAATGGGAGACCATGAGAGGGTTGTTTCTGAAGACCAACAAGACTCTCCTCCACTTCTCTGCTTGTTGTGGTGCCCTGACCTGATGTGTTTTTGAAAGTGACAGGTTCATTTGCGATGCTGATTCACACTCCCAGACCTTTAATTTCCCTGGTTTAATTTCCCAGGGGAAATATATTTCATAATAGTCACATGTCCTGAAGTCCTTATACATGTTTAATTGACTGAGAAAGGCAACCAAGCCACGTGCTCCATTGTAGGGCTTAGTCTTTCAGTCCTGCTTACCCAGGAGGCTGCAAAAAGCTTCCTAGAAGGCCTCTTATAAAATCAATTGTGGAAGTGCGTGCTCAGGGAATTTACAAAGCATACTATTTACTCTGCTTCTCTGGAGCACGCCTGTGTTTAGCCACCTTCCCATTTGGAGACACAATAACACGATGACAACCCGATAACAATTCTCTGATAAGGTGCTATATCATCAGGACATAAAACTGCTATGCCGGAACATACAAATGGGCCCCTCTCCAGTCAGTAACGACGTGAGATATTTCAAGGAAGGTGTAAAGCTGCCTTGTAATGCACCTGTGGTAATTGCACTGGGCTGTGTACCCTGGGAGACATTTCTTCCTGACCGCAGCTGGTAATCAGCATATGCCCGGAGCATGAGGTTTGATAGTCCTTTTATCCCAGCCAGTACATCTGCTACCTCTGTCCGTATCCTTCTAAGTGTCTAATAAAAAGAAATGATACTAAGCTATTTGCTTCAACAATATTCCGCGGTATCCATCAGGATGACAGGGCATTACAGACCATTGAGCGGATGAAAGGGAAGCACCGATTGAATAAAATTAGCTCCCCAGTAACTTAAGAATTAAGACGGGGAAGTTTTGGTAGGAGTTGTGGGTCATTAGCTCCATGTCAAGTAAGAAAGGGCTGTTGACAAGGAAAAGGAGTGAGGTGTTAATAAACACGACTACTTGTGTACTCACGCACAACCCCATGCACAGCCTTGCCTCTTTCCCAGAAATATGTAGGGACAACTGACCCAGAAAAGCCATCTAGAAATCAGCAAGAGGTGATAGAAATTGAGTTAGAAATGGGGATATATGGGGTGATACAACAACATGCATGCAGGGAGTTGATGGCTTTAAGTCTGTCCATGAGCAAGAACTTGCGTCATAGTCTCGAGGTGGGGTCCTAAGAGGCAAACCTCATAGATTGGCCAAGGACTTGAGTTATCCAGGGTCACAGCTGAGCAGATCTCTGAGGGATTGCCCTTCTCCAAGGCTGTGGTATGTCTTTAAAAGCTATTTGGATCCTCTTCCCTTATCTACAGCCACACTCAATTCCTGTGACTATGAGTATCCACTCACCTATGGCCTTTAGACTGGAGCAACATCCTCTTCACCCCACCAAGCAAACATCCACTGGCTGTGCTGAACTTGGGCATCTCCTAGGGTCTTGGTTGCCTTCTCAACAACTTGTCCTTTTTTCTTACCAGGTATGAACGTGTTGGAGAGTTCTCCTTATGAGCCATTTGTCAGGGGCTTTGATTACGTCCGGCTGGCATCCATCACTGCAGGTAGGTGGGTGGGAAGATGCTCTTTTACAGGCTTGTTTTAAGTGAAGTATTGGCTGTGGGATCAAGATCTACAGACAAGAGAATCCTTTGTGGTCTCTTTTTGCTCCATAAAAAGCACTGCATGGTTCAGGCCTTACATTTACGTTTCCAAAGAGCTGTCTATGATTCCTGGGCTAAGCTGTTGGTAGAACATAGTCTCAGAAGAAACACTTGTGATTTTTGTCCTTTGGCCATTTCATTCCTGTACTATGAGTGGGCTGGGACTAAGGGAAGAGACATGAACCTGTGAGCCTAAAGTCAAGGGAGCTGAGGTAGAAGGAATTTTCCTGTCAGATGACCATACTTTTTAGGAGCTCACCTGAAAAGAAAAATGGAAAGCAAACTCCTCCAACTTTTTATGAGGAGGAGAAAGAAAAACAAGGGAGGAGAGAAAGAGGGAAAGAAGGAAAGAGAGAGAGAGAAAGAAAGAAAGAGGAAAAGGAGGGAGAAGGAGAGGGAAGAAAGGAAGTAAGCAAGCTGAGCAGGGAAGCTAGACAGAAGGAAGGAAAATGAAGAGCCATTTAATTGGGAGAAAGAGGGTAAGTAGAAGCTCCTTCACTTAACAGATCAAAAATTTGTGTAAGGGCTGGATGTGATTGGTACCAAGAAGTCCCTGGTGACCGTCAGGAATGGAAGACCTGGTTGTGTAATTGTCCATAAAGAACACCTCTCCTTGGGTCCTTAGACAGCTGAATGCAGTTTCATCTTCTGTGTCATTAGATCACAAATTGACTGAAGACTGGCCCACAGGTTCTCATCTTCTGGTCTTTTTCCCACACCTTGTCAATCAAAGGGGATTCTGGAAAGATCTGGGAAAGAGAAGAGGGGACAGACAAGTCAATCAGTGTGTGCAGACTATTTTTGGGATGGGAGATGCATCAGTCAGCCTTCACACGCAATTTGCCTCAGGTCTCCTGAAAGCTGGAGGACAGCTTTCCTGTTGTAGGAGAAATGCAACAGCCATATCTTCCCACCTGACATAGTTCCTGGACTGTGTGCCTCAGCCTCTCAGCTTGCCTCCGCTCATATGGACTTCCCCAAGTAAAAGAGGCACCAAGGAGATGAATTCACTGTAAGAAGTAACATGTCTGATGTTTCCTTCTGTCTGCCTGGGGTCACTGGCTTCTTTCTCTGAATTTTCAAAGGCTTCTAGAGTGCGAGTGGGAGGCAAGATATTTCATCTCATGCCCTGTTTTGAGTTTAGGGTCTCTTAGGTAAGCATTTCCATTCCCCTATTGCTTGCTTTGGCATTGTCCTTAACATCTTGATGTGTTGGGATGTCCTCCTCAAATGAGGTAGATTCTCCATCGCAGGTGAATCACCTGCGTGATGCAGAAATGCGCTAAATAATAGGTTATGGTCAGGTATTACAAGGCACTTGGACATCAGTCCCAGGGCCAAACTCTGTAGTCAAAACGGTCAATAACCCAGCCTACTGCCCATATCCCAATCATAGCATTTAGCCCCAAGCTCTGAGGGAACTCAGATCTGTGTTCTGCTCAGCATCACATAATCCCCTTAATAAAGCAAGCGGAGCTGCCTGACATCTCTCAACACCCTCGTGGGCATGAACTCTGGGCTCAGCAGCTCAAAGGGCAGCGTGGTAGCTATTACACCATCAATCACTAGCATCACAGCTGCCAACACAGCCAAAGTTCAGCTCTGCTTATGCACCACAGCTATGGGGAAGTTTTACCAGAGTTCTTTTCTGTCACTGAATTACCTGCCCGGGAGCAGGCAATGTATGCCGAACATGCCTCTGATAAGCTCTCCCCATGTGTGGTGTGGTTGCTGACCTTCAGACATCCTCAGATGGGATAAGGAGAGGGGACTGTTAGTGATGGCAGTGGAGAGAAAGCAGCCAGGGCCTCCTTGGTCCCTCAGGGCAGTAGGGTCTTTATAGTCTTTTCCAATCATAATGATTTTATGATTCAATGATTCTAAGAAAGGGAGATGAGCAGTGGCAGATGAGACCATGCCAGGTAACAGCCAACCTTTGCACGGGTGGATGTGCCCAAACATCAGTCCTGTTGCAGCTCTTCCTGAGCTATCACCTGTCTCTGGGTTGGGGACTGGGGCTGGCATGCACCCAAGCGAGGAAAGAGCAATCTGTCCCCACAGCTGGCAGATGTCTTCAGTCGCTGCAATGGCAAGGCACTCGCTAGGCGAAAATGTCCAGGAGAAAATTAACCCATCAGCCTTTGACAACCTGACATGGTCACGGCGGGTGGGGGAAACGGGGGGAGAAGTTCTCCCTGACCTCATCTCTTGTTTTTGTCTCCACTTGAATGGTTTGAGCACGGAAAGTGGAGCAGGCACAGAGCTGCTTGCTGGGTCGTGGCCTTCTCTACCGGAGTTTTCCCCTTCTGCTGGAAGTTCTGCAGGGCTCTTTAGAGTGAGGAGAACTCCAGGGATAGAGGCACTTATGCATGGCTAACTCCTTGCCAGGTTTTTTAACACAGACCAAAACTGGCTGGGCAGCAAAGCAAACAGGCCTGGAGCAGCAGAGGTATATCCCAAAGGATTCAGCATCCATCTAGGAACATTGGACTTTTGATTTTATCTTGTTGTGGTTTCTATTTATACTCATCAATGCCTTCTACAACAACATGTTACAACCTATTGCCTTGCATCTCTCCAGTGCCCAGAATTACAGGATCAGGCTCACTATAGCATCCTCTTTCAAATCTTAAAAAAAAAAAAAAAAAAGAAAGAAAGAAAATCGTAGTAATGCAGTGAAACATAAGGCATTCACATGACCCCATGCCAAATCAGAGCTACAGATATTTTAAACCTGTTGTTGCATAAATAATTTATGGTCCCCATTAAAAATGTACAAATGGAATTATGTCTCTCCACTTTAATTGTAGTAGTGATTTAAAAAGTACATCCTTCGTTGTTGCGGGGGAAGAGGAGAAAAGCTAGTGTGTTCACTCTGATTCATTAGCTGAATGGGTAATGAAATTGTTCCCAGCAACTGTTTCCTACACATTCACTGACAGCTCCCCAGTGTAAACTGATGCTCTAACAAAATTCATCTCTGGGCATTTTTAAAGGGAAATATCTGTGTTGTAGGAAGGCACAGAGCAAGAATTTCACCCATCATAAAACAGCTTCATAACTTGGGATTCAACTTCCCATGTGTAGTAAACAGTGAGGACAAGAGAAAGGGGGAAAAATAGCTAGCAGAAGGAGCATCCGATATCATCAGTGAAAATGAAGGAATGCAGCCAGTTTTGAAGTGCTCAGAAAGGCTGACAGTGTTTTAACACTTGTCAGTGATGATTGCCTGGCTTTAACTCCTGGCTAAAGATAGGACTTGACTCTGCAACTCAAATCTGTCATTCAGGGGATTTTTTGCCTCCATGAGAAATTCTTCTCTGCGGGATAGAAAGTCCTTCTAGCTTGCTTCAAGCCATGGGCTTAATTCAGAGATGAAAAAATGCCGTCGAATGCATTTTCTTTCTAGTGCTCCAGGACCTTCATCTTATCTCTTCTATGAGAAAGAGCCTGACGTCCTGCCCAACTCCTGCCAGGGCTTCTGCAACATTTCCCACTGTGCAAAAGAGCTCTGTCCGTCTTCAAAGTAGCGTTGTACAGGTAGACTTTCCCTCCCACCTATTCCCCAAATTTGCAGAAAATGTTGCTGAGTTCCTGGACCTCTCTTTACCTACTGAAGATGGAGTGCTTCTCACCAGCCACCAGAGGGTTTTTTTTTTCCTTTTTTTTTGCTTTCTTTTTTCTAGTAGTTCCTCCTTACTGCAGGTTTTCATCTTCTTTCTCTGCCTACCCCCATCACTCCTTCTGCTCTCCCAGATTGCTCATCTTGTGCTCGGACTTGTCATCCTCCTCTTGCTTAAGACGGTGGGAATGCAGAGAGATTGCACCAAGGCCAAGGAAGGGATGACCTTGTGAAAGGTGTGGGGAGAGACCCACTGGCTCTGCACTCTCCAAAATGTGGGTAAATGCAGAAAAAATATGCCCAAGGCCTCCGGAGAGGCCTGAGGAAACTCACTACACAAGGGAGCAAGAGTCACGTGAGAGAAATTGCAGTATAAAGGTTAGGGTAGACAACTGATGTGTCAGAGGGGCATTTGCTGTCTTTGCCACTGACTCACTGTTTGGTCTTGAGTGACATATTTCTTCTCTGGAAAAAGAAAGAGAGTTGTTTAAAAAAAATCCAATTGTGCTGCTGGACCCAGCCCTGGCATAAGCAGACAACATTTTTGCAGTCTTCCCCAGACCCTGAGGTAGTTAAATCATGAAGATAAAGTGCTGGCAGAGCAAAGCCTCATTTTATTATACATTTTATACCAATATGCAGAGGAGCTTGGTGGAGCAGGCTTTGAGCTGTGAGATTTTCCCAACTCACCAGTTGGGAAAGGTAAATAGATAAAGCACATTTGGCTCTAATGGGACATGGGGAGCCAATGTGACCTTTGTCCTGCCCCAGCATCTCCAAGAGGATGGTGGTATCACCAAGGTGATCATGAATGTCCTGTTGTGGGTACTGCTATCAGAAGCAAGGTGAGCACCAAACCCCATTGGTGTCTCCTGCCCATACTGCAGGCTCCGAGAACGAGGTGACCCAGGTGAACCGGTGCCTGGATGCTGCCAAAGCTTGCAACGTGGACGAGATGTGCCAGCGGCTGCGGACAGAGTACGTCTCCTTCTGCATCCGACGCCTGGCCCGGGCTGACACCTGCAACCGCTCCAAGTGCCACAAGGCACTGCGCAAGTTCTTTGACCGCGTGCCGCCCGAGTACACCCATGAGCTGCTCTTCTGCCCCTGCGACGACACGGCCTGCGCCGAGCGCCGACGGCAGACCATCGTTCCCGCCTGCTCCTACGAGTCTAAGGAGAAACCCAACTGCCTGGCGCCTCTGGACGCCTGCCGGGAAAACTACGTCTGCAGGTAACGTTGATGCTATGTGTTGTGCTGGAGCCTAAGAAGGTCTTTTTCAATGGGTTTGGGGTTGGGTCCTCAAGAAACACTCACTATGAAAAGAGAAGGTGCAAGCCAAGCAGGGTTGGTGTGTGAAATGCTTGTAAACACTTTCACTGATCCATCTCCTTCCATCCACCTTCCAGAGCTCAGGGCAGCCTGCAGGAGCACCCAAGCTGTCCTAAATCTCAAACCCTTGTGGATACCTAAAGAGTCATGTTTTTTGTTTGACTAGAAAAAAAATCATACGCATAAAATAGCCTTCTTCTGTATAAATTCCTGGCAAGGTTCTTTCTGGATCTTATGTGGTTACATGGGATCACCAGCTAACATTAGTTCTCAGGGATGCCTTTGACTTTATGACATTTTAACTAGAATCAACAACAGACAGTTGGGTCCTAAGCATGAAAAGAAAGAGAAGTGATTCCACCTCCTCTGCATCAGCACCAGTACTCTGCATGTGATCCGCAGCCAGTGCTCACGTACAAAGTTGGATTATCCAATCTTTAATCATTTTGGACATGCAAACTTCTGAGCTGTACTTCCAGCAGTCACCCCCCAACCAGGATATCATCTTTAAAGTACATCATTGAAAAAAAAAAAGATCACTTCTTTTCGTAAGGGACAATAAGGGCAGCAACATTGAGCACATCCTCTTGGAAGGGTGGACTGGTACTAATGCCCTCTTGTTTCTTCTGGAAAGCACCCCAGAAATGCTACTGATGAAGAATAGTGAGGTGTTCACCTGAAACTGACTCAGAAAAATAGAAATCCCTTCCCAGAGACACACCAGGTCCTGCTCAGAGCTTTCCTCCAGCTATGCAAGGGGAAATGGATCCGTACTACCCTCTCCCTAACAAGACCAGAAAGCCAGGTGGGAAAGAAGACATTCCAAGGGGAGAGCGCTGCTTCCTGGGAGGCTGGAAGCTGTTCCCACAAGCAGCACAGCTGTTAATTATCTGGTTCCTTGAATGCGTAATATAAAACATCCTCCAGAGACAGGGCTGGAGCAAGGGGTTGACGTGTGACCCGGTCAAAGCCAGCAGTGCAGAAACTGAAAGGACAGCCAGGAACAAATTGCGGCACTTTGAAGAAACAGAGTAAAATACTACAGTGCTAACCCTGCCTGTGCTGTTAAGTCTTCACTCAGCTTCTTCAGAGCTGTAACCCCTTGAGTTCCCCAGCTTTGGCTTGTGGCCTCTACTAACATGAATGGTGCAAACCTCGTTATTAACAGCCCACTCTCCAAAATAATGCATCAAAAAAAAGAAAGGGGGGCGGGCAAGAAGAATTTGCCTGGCAATGGCACAGAGGAGGGGTGAGGGGGTTGGTAATGGGCATAATTGGGAGTGAAACAGCAAAATAAAAGAGAAGGCTGCAAGGGGAAGGGAAGTGGGCTGGAAAGTTCTGGTTGAAGTGCTAATGGTGGCGAGAAAGACTCCCAAGTGGTCTGGAAGACAGAGTCTGTTTGTGAGGAGCAGTGTGCCCAGCTTCTCAGGGCTGTCCATGCAGAGCAAATGCTTTTTGAGACACATGGGTGGAAGTCATCTGAAGGGTCCTCATTTTAGGGGTCAGCAGTGCTAAGGCTCACTTGAGCTTCCTAAGCAGCTCAGCTGCCTTCTCTCTTTACATGAGGATGGCTACTGCATTTTGGTTTGGGGCCTTGAGACATTTCCCTTAATCTAAAGATGACCTCAGCTAGGTTGAGAGCATAATCTTTCAAGAGGGAGGACCTGGTCTGGATTGATGTTCTTTTCAGCAATCTGGACTGATGCTCTTTTTCAGCCCTAAAATAAGGGCTTTAGTCTCTAGGGGAAGTTATGCCTCAACAGTCAGATAACGGCAACAGAGAATAAATCCTTCACTGTCTGCAACATCTCTTCCCTTGAAAACCAGCTTTGCACACCAAAAAACGAAGAAACATGTCTGCTAAAACTGGACTTTTCTTGTTGGCCAAGAGAAAGTCTATAAAACACTATCTATAGCAACTCTCAATGTCTCCTCTTGGGATGATAAATTGCACTTCTGGGTTTGTTTTGAGGGCAGTAGGATGTAAAATGTGGTATCTGTTCAAACTGGCTTAGCAATTCTTCTGGAGAGTAGAGGACTTTATGAACATGACCCCTTCTGTGCAAATGTAGCAGCCACCACTTGCGGCTCTGTGCTTTTATGTCCCTTTCTATGCTCTCCCTTCGTCAGGTCACGTTACGCAGAGTTCCAGTTTAATTGCCAGCCATCCCTGCAGGCTGCAACTGGTTGCAGGAGGGACAGCTACGCTGCCTGTCTGCTGGCATACACGGGGATCATAGGTAAGAGACCGTCTTCTGCAGGTCTTCCTCCCGGGCCCCTGGATGGGAAGCATGCCTTGGTCTTACTCTGGCCAGCTGCGGTCTAGGAGGACAGTAAGGTGCACAGCTGAGATTGAGATCTCAGACAGATGCTGGTCATTATGCAGTGATTAAAGAAGGCACTGAAGCCACGAGCAAGGGGTAATTTCAGGATAGCTGCAGCTTAGTGAATTAAGCCATGCAACACAGGTTGCTGAACCATCCTAGCTTCTCTGTGAGGTACAGACAGAGGCTCAGGTACCTGGGCTGTCCCAGAAATCTGCTCTGTTGGTTGTTCTCTGATCCCACCACTGGTGTTGCCACTGGAAACAGCTGTCCCCTGCCGTCTTGATGGCTTCAAAGGGTGACAGACTGGGTTTTTGGATGCTGCAGATACCCAGCTGGCTGCTGTTAGCCTAAGCACAGCCAGAGTCCAATGGCCTTTGGACTTGGGCCATCTGGAGATAAGGGTTAGACGGATAACTCTTTGGATTTAATTTCACTCCAGTTTAATTCTTCCTTAGTTGTCTCTGGCCATTCTGGATATTCAGTTTCCATCACAGCGTGGAAATTTCTACAAACATACATACCTATTTTTGAATACTATTACAGAACCTGAATTCTGAAGAGCTATCCAAGAGCTTCAAATGATAATAAATAAATATATATACACATGTATATGTACTACAGGCTTTGTCAGTGTTAGAATGAACAAAAGAGATGCAACTTCCCCTCTTTTTCTCTTTGGGAACAAAACAGACCTGTGACACACGCACTTGAAGGGTCTTGTGCTGCTGTCACGGAGAGCCTTAGTTGATGTTATGAACAGAGCAACCCAAGAAAGAATTGAGGTGGGAAGTCACTGTTGGACCCTGTTGGTCCCTGAAGGAAGAAATACCAGCTTCTGGTAACACTTCTTCATCCTCCTGGCAGGTAGCCCCATCACACCCAATTACATTGACAACTCGACTTCGAGCATAGCTCCCTGGTGCACATGCAATGCCAGCGGCAACCGGCAAGAAGAGTGTGAGAGTTTTCTGCATCTCTTCACCGACAACATCTGTCTCCGTGAGTACTTGCCCTGCACATCACTGCTCTGTCAGCGTGTCCCACAAGCTGGTGGGCTCCCTGGAAGAGGGAGTGAGAGTACAAAGATATTCACAGCACAACCACTGCCCTGGTCATCCACACTGCATAGACATGCAGCTCCCATGCTTTCAATGAAGGAGCTCTGAAGATTGTCAGAGATGTTTTTGGGTGAGGCAGTCAAATGAGGAAGCAATGGGGACAGGAAGACTGGGACTTCCTCCACCTTGCACCATCAGCCAGCGTCAGTGTGATTACATATCATGTTTCTTAGATCTGAGTCCGGGCATCAGCCAAGATAAGATACTGACAATTTTACTCTAAAGCCTGCTGAAGCCTAAGAAAGCATCCCAGCCTCTAGAAAAGCCTTGGCGAAGGCTCTATTGGCCTTGTCTCTAGAGCAGATATTCAAACCCTTGAAAGAGCCAGGGAAGTGACATCCAGGACTAGGCACTTTGGAGGCAAACTAGAAATGCATCTTCTGCCCCCCAAAAGATGACAAGTGTTGTGGATGTCTGAATTCATTAATGTCCTGGAGATGGCATATGGTCCATCCAGCAGCTGTGCTGAGGCCTTTGGACTGTCACACTTTAATAGATGTGACAAGGAGAAGTTTCCGAAGAGGCTCTTCGGCATTTTGCTGTGATCTTGTAGCACAATCACAGTGCACATCAGGAAATATTTCTTCTTTTTTCCAAGCCAATTCCTTCCACAAAACAACATTGGTCCTATAGTTAGATCAGTAAGCACTTGTTGCATGAATGCCATGTGTCGAGGAGCTTGGATAGCATCCTTTCTTCAGGAGCTGAGCTGTGATACATGCAGACACAGGACAGTATACTGGCTGAGACGAGAGTGATTGGGAGAAAAGAGAGGTTCCTCCTCTTTGGGTTAAATCCGTTTTCCCCTCACAGTGGAAGAGCAGGGAGGCAAAAGAGCACTTGAAATGGTTGGAGAGAACAAGCAGATATGTCAACTCGGATGACCAGGTCTTGGGAGACTTTCAGGTCCCTTTAACTCCTTTTAAGATGCGTATAGATGAATGACGGTCCTGTGAAACTCTTCCATGTTGAAATAACACCATGTCTTAGGGCAAGTGTGCACTGACCTGATCCCTACACTTGGGTATGAGGAGTGTCTCTTTTATACTGAGACTTTGCCCACCAAACACCCTTCTAGGGCTATCTCCCTCCTCCCTGCACCTCATGGTGCCACAGATTGTGTTTCCACAGGACATGCTGGGGACATTTTTTGCACACCCTGATGCCCCATGATGAAAGGCTTCAAGGCCCTGTAGGACCTTCCTTCCACTTTTCTGCATCCCACACACCATCTGTCCTATTGTTGGAGGATGATGGCAGTAACTGGATGATCCATGGAAATGAAAGGAATTTAGATGTGAACACCTGCTTCCTGCCCCTGGGCTTTTGAATTAGGCATATATGAGGATGGTTGGTGTTGTCGCTACAACTTGATGACTTTCCATCAAGTGGGACTTTCCATCCAAGGGCTGAAATAACCCACAGTGAGACTCGAGCCCCTGTGGCAGTCGGGTTCATAGGAGAGATATTAACTTTGCTATCACTAGTGGGTGCCAGGTTGCCTTGGCTTACAGGAGCCCAGCATATGCGATGCTGGGCCTCTGCCTGCTGTGCAGAAAATGGTGTTTACAGAACAAAGCAGGTGTCATAAGAGGAGTTCCCACACTTGGAAGAAGCCAAGAGAAAGAGGCCAACAGCAGCTCCAGCCTCTGGTAGAGGCCCTCACCATTCCCCCTGGCCAGGAGTTCATTGCTATCCATGAGGGACCCACACTGTATATGCCAGCCTGGGAGGAGGCTGGAGAAGGGATATTTTATCTCAGAAATGCAGCCCTCATGGCACTTCTCTCTCTCTCTCTCTTTTTCTATCACACAAAGAAAATGCCATCCAAGCCTTTGGCAATGGGACCTACCTGAACGCAGCCATGGCCCCATCCATCCCTCCCACCACACAGATGTATAAGCAGGAGCGAAATGCCAACAGAGCCGTCGCAACCCTCAGAGAGAACATCTTTGAGCAGCTCCAGCCCACCAAGGTAGGAGAGGGCTGACCAGGCCCTAGGAGATGCCTGACCATGCACATGCCTCTTCTGCACCTTCCAGCCCTCCTCACCTCAGCTCCTTCCCTCCTCCACCCTGTGTGCACATAGCCGAGCCTCCTCCATTGCCTAGATAACCTGGGTCACCCTTTTCCTTATCCCTTGGTGTCACCTTGCCCTACCTCTAACAAGAGGGCTGTGTTATTCTCTGCCTTGACTCCCTTCTTCCATGTGCTCTTACCCATCTCTTCATTTCATGGGGGCTATGGAGAGAGGTGGTATTTCTTAGAAGTACCTGGAACATCCATGGTGCGGGGAGCCAGGACAACTGGGATCTGGTCCTGGCCCTCTTGCAGGGTGGCCACAGGACTTCATTTTAGCTCCCCAGCCTTCAGTTTCCTCACTTGTCACATGAGGATCCAAGAGGTCACATTATGAGGCTTAACTGACCGAAGCAGGCTAAGCCCTGGAAAACTGCAATGGAAAGTTTCTAGTCATCCGTATATTGTTAGTATTAAAGTAATATTAAATTAAGGTTATTATTAAATAAATAACAGTGATGTTAATTTACTGATGATGACAGTAATGTGCATTAAATATTTTATTATTAAATAAAAGCAATGACCTTGATTTGCTGCCCACTAGAATAATCTTCAGATTGAATTATTTTACTAGTGAATAATTAACAATGATCCTGATTTGCTGAATGTACAGGTAACAGAACCTGTCAGTTAACTAGACTCCAAGGACTGAGCGTGGACTTTGTGCTGGGCTAGCTGACGCTTTCAGGAAGCTTCTGCATGAAAGTTTTTAAAGTCCTTTCCCTGTTTCTTTAGCTGGGAAAACACCCAACTCACTCCATTATGCTCTATTTTTGCAGAAAGGTTACCAGGTCTTGCAGGTGGCCAGAAGGAGCAGAAAGGCAACCTCAGCTTCCCTCACTATTCACATTGGCACTGCACATTATTCAGGACAAAAACTTGTTTGCACCCAGGAGACATCTGCCTGGCCTCTGGCCGGTGTTCTCCAGCACTGTATCCTCTAGCCAGCATGCAGTGACCACCTCCCAGTACCACTGCCCTTAGGGTGAAGGACTTGGTCAACACGTGATGGCTGCTTTGCTGAGTGGGTGTTCCCCATGCAGTAGGAGGTAACACCTAGGGCAAGAGGAGACCCATATGGCTAGAGACGTCCACGAGAGACTGAGTTGGTGGAATGGCTTTGGGGTATGGCTGTTCCTTGGCTACATGGATGCTTCAAGGAGAATGATCTTAGTCCAACCCAAGTGGTGGCCCAAGGCCCAAACCCCAGACTATGAGCTTTTGTCCAACGACTGCAGTCAGTAGCAGCCCTGCCACGTTGCCATACTCTGCACAGCTCTGTTGAACTGCAAGAGCTGTGGGATTGTGGGACCTAGTGACATTTCAAGGAAAATAGGGGAATCAGGAATCAGGTCCATCTGATATGTAACCCATATCCCCAAAGGAGGAACAAAGTTTCAGGGCAGTGGCCAGTGTGGCAGCAACTCTTGTACCTCATGCATCCCTTGCTAGAGTACGTCAAGGCACTCAAGCTACCTTCATCACTGTCTTCAACAGAGATGACCTGGCCTCAAAATTAGAACTAGGGCTTTGAGACTGACCACCCTGGTTCTCTTTGCCTCATGCCCCCAGATAGAAACAGGAAGGTTGCATGGTTGAACACTGCAGACCTAGCACATAAGAAATAATTGCCTCTATTCTTGCATTGCTCGGTGGGATGGAGGTAGGGAAGGAATGTGCTGCTCACCCCTGCACTGCCTCTTCTCTCTTGCAGGTGGCCGGGGAGGAGAGACTCCTCAGGGGCTCCACTCGTCTGTCCTCAGAAAGCTCCAGCCCAGCAGCTCCCTCCCGCCTGGCAGGCTCTCAGCTGCAGATGTGGCTTTTCCCAGCTCTCGCCGCCATGCCGAGCCTGTTTTTGATGTGAAGCAGGGTGGGCAGACGCCAGGCTGTGACTCTCTTCGTGTCGGTTCCTTTGAAAAACAACCAGACAAGCTACTTTTTCTTGGGGGGAGGGAGAAGGGGTGGGATGGGGAGGAGAGGTGAGCGTGTAGGTATCCCTTCCTCCCCCTCATCTGCCTGCCAATTTATTTGATTTTTATGAAATCAGCATCATTGAAACCAGCTCATTCTTGGTCCTGGCCACTTTTCCACTCCACAGCTTGGTTGTTGTCTCTCCAGCTCTCTGCGGTTGGGTTCAGAGCCACTGGCGATTCCCTTGAAAAAGCTCAAAGTGGGAGTCAGGCCCAGAAATGAGACCTGCAAAGGAAATGTGTTTGCCTGCCCCGGACAAGGGGGGAATGACTTTTGATGGATGAACTGTCAGGATGTTTCCTGAAGATCTGACTCATGATGGGGGTCTTTTGGCAGCACACGTCAAGACACGTGTAGTTCAGATGGTCTCCAGGGTTGTCCAGGACCCAAAGAGCAGCCCATCTAGTTCAGACTGAAGAAACCAGATGCTCTGGTGAGAAGGCAGCTGATTTTGTTCATCAAAGAGAATCCTGAAGCACCTCTGGAGTGAAGCAAGTGGCTGTGCTGTGCAGAACTGGTTTGCTGGGTTCATCCACACATTGCAGACGTGGTCAGCATGGAACTAGTGTGCATCTCCAAGCTGTGACTTACTCCTCAGCCCTCCTTTTAGAGAAACATGTGTCATGTATTGATGGTGTTCAGGAAGAAACACGTGTGTTGTGTTTGGTTTATGGCTAACTTTCTCACATCCCAACCTTAACACCTCTTTTAACTCGTCCTGAAATTTGTCTGGGATATGGTTTGGGGGTTTGGTGTTGTTTTTTATTTGTTTTTTGTTTTATTTTTTGGAGGGGTCACATCTGAACCGCCAGAGGCTAATAGGCTAATACCGTTCAACTCCAAGCTAACCTTGCTCAGCGCAGGAGAAATGTGTAAGTCCACAGGCAGGACTTGCTGCAAGTGCAACATAATCTCTTCTCATGTGCTGCTTGTGCATCTTGCAAAGAGACAAAGGATATTGAGTCAGGGGAATCTCACCAGCTACATAGTTAAAAGACAAGCTAGAAAAGAGTTTGCTGCGCATCCCCTTGGGGACGTAAAAATCCGGCCAATTTATCCAAAGGCCAAAGCTCCCTAGATGTTGTAGATAGGGATGGATTATTACCATTCCCCTTGCTAAAGACTGGAAGAAGCAATTGATTCTGATTTTATGAGAAATTCCTGGGGGTTTGATTCAATGTAAAGCCATCTGTGGTTCCCAATGCACATGTGTGGATATGTGAGATGTGCTTAGAGAATTTCCTGGCTATTTCTACCTGAAGTTCTGTTCCGAGGGCTTCAGGGTTGTCCTACTTGAGGGATATGCAAGGGATCCTGGAACATCCCAAGAACCCTGTCATGCTTGCAGAGATACCAGGTAACACCTTGAAATGACATATGCCCATTAAATTTTCAGTTGCAAGAGGTTTACCCAGCATCGTAAAATGCAGCCAGGGAAGAAGCTCTACAGGGAAGGAAGTCTCTGACCTCCCTTCAAAGGGCCAGAGATATGCAGTGAATTGACATGAACATTTTCCTTTTACATAGGGCATCGGTGTCCCCTTGGTTTCTGGAAGACCGTGAGACATCTGTGCACTGAGCAACAGGGCTATTTGTTGCTCCTCTGCAAAACTTGTGTCCTCCAAGTCACATCATAGCAGAAAGTGATTAAAACCTGACTCAGCCCTTCAAAGGCAAGGAACTACCTCAGCATCATGAGGTCATGCTGTGAATTGCCTTCTTCTGTTGCTTTCCTTTAAATCCTGTGCTCATGCCCTGCTATTCTACGCACCTGACCCCAGTAACCTGGGTCTCCACCAGCCTTCTTGCATCTTCTTGCACAGGCTGGCTCTGTTTTGGTGTAGGACTCGCATGTAAGCAGGAGCTGCTTTTAAGGAGTACCCACTCCTGTAGTCACTCACAAGTTCACCCTAGTGTCTCTTATAACTTGGTGATGTTAAAATGCCACTTTGCTGTTCCTTTCTCTGTCAATCAACAAAGCCAGAAGCAACAGATTTTTTTTTTCTTGTTGTCCAGGAGAACCAGCAAACTGACTTCAGCTCTCCTCTGTGACTGATAGCCATGAAAAATAAATGTGAGGTTTCCTAGTCGTAGGCTAGGGGGATGGAGGAGACCTCCAGAAGCTACTGAGTACATTACCCTTTCCCACAGCGGGGTCGAGGGTCTGCTAACATTTTCTGGCAGATGTCTCTCTAACCTAGTTTAATAATTCCGGTGAGCAGAGATGTCACCATCTCCCCAGGATTTATATTTCACTTCAGCAATTTCTTAGGGCACTAGAACTGCCTGTGAGCATCGTGGGCCAAAGAGACCTCAAGTCCCATTGCTATCTCTTCTTGAGGCTTCCCTTCGAGGAGGATGGCAGAGCAGCAGCTAAGAGTGCTCCGAGGCTGTGGAATGTGACTGCCAGCCACCACGGATCACATCTCAGAGGCTTTGCGTGAGAAGGCCAAGACCAGCCCTCATTCATTTTCAAACATATCACAGACCATTTTCCAACTCAGTTCTCCTTGGTCATGTCCAAGACTGATATCTTGATGCCATCAAAGTCAAGTTGAGTCTCTCCTCAAATCCTTGTGAGTGATAGACTCCAGACATGAATAAGTCTTAGCAGAGAAACTGTAGAGGGTGCTAAGCAGCAACACTGGGAATTACAGTGGTTTGAGTTCTTGAGAAAGAAGCAACAGAAGGCTGGAACCAGTGACAGCAAGGATCTGTTGGCATCTCTGTAAAAATCACACAATAAGTGTGAACAAGTCTCTGCTGTAGGATTTTCTCCAGCATGCCCTTGTTTGTGGGACCTCAAAGCACATCTACTGTTGTGGTAGCACATCTGAAAATACTTGCTTTTCCTCAGCCGTTGTAACCCGAGCTGTAAGGTTGGAAACAGTATCCTTCAAGGAATGGTCTGTGCCAGCTCTCGCTTGCAAGATTGTGTCTCCTTAAATGAAGGGCACAAGGCATAGAATAATGAGCCTGTCCTCCCAACAGGAAAGAGGGGAGGTTTGGAATGGGTGGAAATATTGCATCTGATAAAAATAAAAAAAAAAAAAGAAAAAAAGAAAAAACAAAGAAAGCTTGCATGACTTTCTATTGACCATTTCATCCTTTTTGTAATATTTAATGACAACCCTCTCTCAAAAGCCTATCTACAAATCCGAATTTGAAAAAAAAAAACAGAATGTCTTTTGAGCAGTACACTTGAGTACACTTGCGTGTGTGTGCATGCACACCTAGCCACACACAGTTCACTTCTTTTCCCTCATGAGAAATCAATATTATTTTGTTGAAAGCTCACGTCTGTTGAACTCTGTGAAGGAACTTCATTTTCATCCTTTAGACTAACCACCGAGCTCATGCAGCTGCTTGAGAAGCAAAAGGCCTGAACAAGCCAGGAGAAAGGGAGACCAGTTTTTAATAATTACTCCCTACTTTCATAAGCACAAAGAAGAGTTGTTGAAAAACAGAGAAACCACCAAAACAACCAGCCAAACTTTCTGTAGCCACCAGACTCTACATTTTTTGGCTGCTCAGCACCATTCCCAGTGGTTTGGCAGTTCCTCCCACCCGGAAAGCCACCCTGAAAGTGAAATATTGTGCCACACATTTGTCCAAGTGGGACAGTGGGCAGGAAGGGTGACACGGTGGTGGGGAGCTGGTGTTGGAGGAACAACCCAGTGGTGGTAGGGTGATGCTCAAGGCTCTGTGTGTGTGCACGTGTGAGTAGACAGGGGAGAAGGGATGGAAGGCTGATGCCTGCTGGTGCTGCTGGGGTGTAATCTGTACTTATCTCTTCTGTAAGCATCAGTATTCAAACATATCCATGAATAAAGCACACATGCATTTTCCTGATGCCCTGCTCCCCTGTGCGTGGCTGGGAAGTCCATGCCAATGGCCCCACGTGGATGCCCTCCATGCAGCGCTGGTCTCGCACTGTAAGCAAACTGCAAACTGGGGAGACGGGGAGGTGGGTGGCCAAGCAGCAGGGCTCAGGGACCCAGAATGAAGCACTTCATGCAAATCCTGGTGAAGGGCTGACGATGACCTCCATGGTGCCTGGCTAAAGGCAACCACCAGGTCCCACAGCAGCAGCCTCCAGTGGACATGCTGCAAAGATGCATAAAATTTCTATTAAATAAAAGTGAAGAGAAGCGAGATGAGGCACCTGTTCAGTCTGAACTAGATGGGCTCCTTCGTGTGCGCAGTGGCTGTCGAAAAGGTGAAGACACCAAGGCAGGGCAGATGTTTCTCCTTGCTAGCTGCATAGCAGCCCCAGGGGATTTGGCAGATGGGGGAGGAAGGAGGAGGGAACTCGTGGTGGTTTCTTAACCCTACCCCCCTGCATTTCAAGTAACGATGCACAGGCTTCGCAGGAACTGCAGTGGCCTCTCCGGCCACCTGGACACATCAGTAAATAGAAGAGGTTGTCCTCCTTGGTCACTGTGTCCCATCCTGCACTCCTGTCTGTACCATTGGAGGGGTTTAAGATGTGCCACATGCAGAGGGAGTCAGAAGCATAAGCCATAAGTTTAACATGGGAAACATGATGGGGTTGGGAAGGACATGCAGCAATGGGCAAGAGGGATGTTCCTTGCTGGAGCACTCAGACAGGGTCAGCCCTGTCCCACTTGGCTCGGTAGCCCCTTTGGCAGTGCCCATGGGATGGGATATCATCTCTGAGCCAGAAGATCAAGCACTAGCAGTTCTGGTGCAGCTGTGAGGGTGAGTATTGAGGCCAAACGTCATCATGAGTGATAAAAAGGCGACTTCAAGTCAAGTAACTTGCACGTTACAGCACTCGGTGATTTTTTCACAAAAACATAAACAAGCAACCACAAACAAGGCAAAACAGGGTCTTTCATCAGTTAGATGTACACGCACACGATACTACCTAAAAACACTTGCAGCTGCAAAGGGCGAGCTGAGAGGGGGAGTGATGGGTGCCATCAAA